AATTCGTGCTGGAAAGTTTATTCTGCGTAAGACAGAGTGGGATTGTTTTTGATAAAAACAGACGACCGCCGGATGTGGCTTTCAAAATGTCTTTTCGTTCCATAAGAAGCAACGAGGGTTTTAATAACCCCTTTTAACGCAAAGATATAACTTACAAGTGTGTCCTCTCTGTCAGTCAATCATAAATCAAGGCTACATCCATTAATCACTTACATGCATATTTAGCTGATTAAAATAACTTTACTTCAAGAGCTTTTCTCTCATCCGGTTCCTTTAGCCATAGATTTTGATACACAAAGACCGTGGTAACGTTAGTACTTTGAACCGGCAGGAATCGGAACTCGAAGGTGCATTATTTTTATATGGTCTACGCAAGAAGCACCCCATAACAGGATCAGATGTTATCATATCTGGAACGGAAATGGCAATCTGAAAATAACAACAAGTAGTGTGAGGTATTTTTGAAATTTTAGGATTTTCCATGAAAAATAATGGCATTTCGCAACATCCCCTCTGCGGCCATACTGTGTCATTTCATGATCGCTTGAATTACGAGAATTTACGGTAAGATTGCAGTTTCGTGGAAGTTCATAGACTATCCATGGTAAACATGCAACAGTGACAAAATATTTTCGAGATAAATCGTTTAAAAACGACAGTTCTGAAAACTGTTCCATGCGTATGTTAATTAGTGAATGGGCGGGCCGGATTAAACAACAGATCCCACTTGGTTATGAAGATATGTTTCTCATCAATATTACTTCCGAGCTTCAGTTTTTTTCATTTTTTTGGAACATCAAAGCAGCGAAGAAATCTTTTTCAAACAGTCTTTATCTTGAAAAATAACAGTAATATTCTTTGCCATTGAACTCTTTGAAATATAGGCATTCAAACATTCATGGAAACAGATAGATGAATCGATCGAATACAGAACTCGAGCTATATTACACGTGATCTGTGCGTCATCTAAGTAATTGAGAGCGAGGGATTAAGATTTTAAAAAAAACCTTGTGACAAACGCCATATACACAGATAAGTGCTGTAAAATGGAGAAGAAGACCACAAATATGCAATTGTCACGCATTACAGATCATAGTTCACACTCTAAGATGGTGAGCAAAATTTATTAAAGACTTTATCAATTAAAGCAGGTATTTAGCGAATTTAGAATTCACCTGAGGTTGAAGAGGCGGTAACTTACAATAGACCCGGTAAAGTTTTGCGTACAGAGTATTCAAACAGTAGTATGGGAGAACATTTCTCCAGAGCATAAAACTGAAGTGGCCCATATACTAAGATGAAGACTTGGTTATTCCCCAAGTCAACTAGCTTTCTAAACTGACCCCTGCGCTATAGTGGCAAATAGGTGACAGAATGACAACAGAAGAAGCTGTAATGACTTATACAACTTATTGTGAAACTGTAACACCGGATGAGAAAAGATGAATGAGTCATAACTTGAAATACAAATACTGCTGTACAAAGAGATTCTATCACTTTCTCGATCTTGCTCTTTTCAGCATTATGAAGAGGTGTTGTTACTGTTTGGATTACAAATTTGAGCTTTTGTGAAGGAGATAATAAGAAAATTGAATTCACCCTCAGCTGGTTAAAATATCTGTGCGATTTTACACACATTCATTCACAAAGCAATTTGTACCCCCGCAACCTCTTTAAAAGTAAAAGCTTTATCTTAATTTATCATATCCTCTGATCAGTGGTAGAATCTGTAATCTTAGAATATGAAAATTTGTTCAAATGTAGGAATCTACCTGGAAAGTTTAGCAAAAAACCCACATACCATGTTGTTTATTTGGCAAAAGTAATGAAAGACTACTTAGTTAGGTTTGTCTCAGGTTTCTGACAACAAAGACGGGCTGACTTGAATGGAGCCTTGAAGGGTTGCAGGAACGGCTGTATAGTGAGTAGTTACGGGCCGTGACCGTATCGATTGTTCCAAAAATAATGTGGGTGGTAATTAAGTAGGTTGAAGGAAGGAAATACGTATTTATATTTTTAGTGAAGTAAAGAGGTCTGCTGGCATAACTAGATTTTGTCAATGCCAGACCTTCTCTAAGGCAAACGGCGCCACGTCTCATTGATACTACATTGTTTCTGAGGATGTTTAAACAGACATCATCAACTCCGAAGCTGATTAAATCGAGACATTGGCGCAAAAAAAAAAAAAGTCGTTGGTTAGCACAATTGTTCACAGAATTAACGCTTCACTTCTATTTTGTCTATTGTTTGCGTAATTTATCCCCTTTCCTGAGCAGACGATTGACTAGTGTTACGATCACCGAACAGAAGTTACCATACAAAACTGACTTGTACTCTTTGAGTTGGCTTTATCAATCATACCACATTGGTTACGAAAGTTGTATTGTCAATTCTTTGTACGTGCAGTTGATAAGCAAGTTATTACTAACTGACGTTGCTTTTCATAAGCACACATCGATAATTTGAATGAAAACACGAGATGACATTCTAAGGTTTGAGAGAAAAAAAGAAAAAGGAAGAAAAGGAAGAAAAGGAAGGCAAGAAATAATCTCGTTTTCCATAACGGCAAATTTGTGTCGTATTTTATTTTTTTTGTCTCCACTATTTAATGCTGTGTTTATTTATTGAAGAGAAATCTCCTTTTCCCTCAATGTTTACATATGCTGTAGGTGGGAAGGAAAATATTATGATATTGTTTTGTGTAATGCTTTTTGATCGGAAACGCGAGTAAACGAAAAAGAATTAAGTTCTGAAGCAGATCTCATTGTAGATTATCACATAGATTAACAAGCCACTAGCTGGCAGAACCTTATCTGATATGTTGTCGTGAAGGTGTCAAGTAAATAATCAGAAATGTGCGGTCGCAATAAGTTTTTATCCCTATTTCAACGGGAATCCTCACAAAAAAATCGTTAAAATTTAATGAGCAACTAAGAGATGATAATTTCTACCTATGAATAGCTGTATATTTTATGAATTCTTTTTTGGTTTTACATCGAAAGTTAAAAATGAAATGTGTATTCCGTATTTTAAAATTTTTCTCTATAGCCTCAAAAAATATTGTTTTTGTGAAAAGGAACTGACAGCCTTTCAAGTCTTACCTTCATCACGTGACACTTTGTGATGACCCTCTTATTGCAAAGCCCCACCTTCACATGAAAGAATTGATCTTCCGTTGAGAAATCTCAGAATTAAGAGAGGGCACTCGCAGCAGTAGAGTGCAAAAATGGATACACTTAACTTTGGACCGCCTTCACTTCACAAACACGAGACTAACAATGCTGCGAGATGAAAATAATGATGGGAGTGTACGTCTTTCCTTTCGACTCGCAAATGTTGATAAAAGCATGATTCGTTGAAGCTCTTTCCCCCTTACTGGGCTTGGTACAGAATAATATTCCTAGTCTATTTTTGATCGAACCATCTCTATGTAAAACATATCCCAACGGGAAAAAATATACTTTATTAGTAGTTCATTGTATCAATGTGAACCTTTTTCTTTCTATTTCAAATTTAGTTTTGATCAGTAAAACAAAGCATAGGAAATCATTTGAGTTTTTTTTGAATGGTGGTCAAGACAAAACAAACCATTTCGTGTGGCGGAAAGGCGTTGAAAAGAGGACCAAACAAGACTGTTAGACAGAGAATACGAATTAGTTTTCTAGTTTTTATCATTTGCACAAAGATTTTGTCTGTTAGTGCGTTTTGTCATTCTTTGCTCTGAAAATTGACGCTATTTGTTTTATTAGCCATATTAAAATTTACAAAAAATATTGATTTTAGAAGGAGGAAATTCGCCTCTTTTTATTTTCCAGCCCTCCTAATGAATTCGATTTTTCATCAGACTCCAGCAACTATCAAGTCTTTAAGTTTTGCAATTTTCAATTCAAAGTTTTATCACCTACACGCAAAATTGAAATTGGATTAATTTGAATCCTGTGTAAACTGCGTTATTGAGGAAATACGAAGATAAGTTTAGGAAATGTCAGCTCAAGTTTATACAAAAATTTAAGCCAAATCAGACAGTGAAAAAAAAGCTTTCTTTGCATCCTTGTGTTTGAATAATGTGTTGCCGCCTGACCAACCATGTCTCGCCAGTCAAAATTTTCAGTCAAATAAGTTGTGTTTCCAAAAAAAAAATCATACATGAACCAATAAGTTTTCTTTTAAAGAAATTCGCTGCCGCACCTGAAATGACAAAGATAAAAGAGACAAAACCTTGAATCAACAGCACGGTTTAGTAATCAAACATTTTTAAACAGTAAACGGCCATTTTTAATTAAAGTTAGTGTTATTAAACTATTGTTGAACACACAAAGCTGCCTCAATAAACAAACAGTGGGTTTTTTATCCCTTTTGTAACCAAGAACCTCTCAATCATAAAACAAGTTCATTTTCCCGCCGCAAAATTGGTTCTCGATTTCAGAGATCAATCAATTCAGAATTTAGAGGTGTTTTGATTTCGCGAAAAATTAAAAATTTCAAGTGCTCTTCTTTAAGGATTGACTGAGAGCGTGATGCGAGGCTGTTTGATCAGTTATTTCCTTGGCTTTATTTAGCCAATAACTTTGAAATGTCACTGAGCTATGACATGAAATCACAGTTAATGATGTCTTTTTAATTCTGTGCTGACAGTCATAAAGAAAAAGAAAAGTATTCACAAAACTAACCCGGTCGCAATTGTCCAAAAAAGACTCCGTTTCCTTTTCATTGTAAAGAAATCGTGTCAAAAATAGCTTTATGACCGCGAATTTCCCACCCAGAAATTCGCAGCCGTCCATTCGGAAATGCGCTTCCGTTGTCAGAAATATTTCCAATTAAATTCTGTGTTGCCTGAGCCCGAAGCGTCATTTTTTTCGTGTTAAAGTGCGATGCACTAATTAAATGCTAAAATAAAGTGAACAGAGGCGAAATTTGTTAGCAAGTCTAATTTTACGTAGCAATGAAATCACACTTTTTAGCAAACTTCCTGCATCGCTTGCAGCATAGGAAATTTAAAGTCTAAATAAAAACCTTTTATTACCTTTATAGTAAATACAGCTAATCCTTAAACAAGCAACAATAAAACTTTTACTTATCCACATGTACAGGCGTAAAATATTAAACATCTTCAGTCTTATAGGAAACGATATATCCAAAATCTATTGTTGTCGTCCCTGAGAAAGCTTAAGACCTGAGACGCACCCATCGTAACCACGTTGTCAAAATAAGCGCACTACCCTCGTACACTAGAATTGTCAAAATTGAAAAGGGCTTTGTAACGGGGCATATAAATGTTCGCATCAGATCTGAGTTCTTCAAGTTACTATTGTTTCTACAGCCAAAAAAGACATGATACTGTTGTGATTTTCGCTTGTATTGCAGATGTTAAGTTCATCTATCCCGAATAGAATGTGTAGCGAGCGTAAGTCATCGATGAATCTGGCCAAGACGCTTAACAGAGACGGGATCCATGACTGAGCTGTTTTCTCTCGGACTCTACGGGTTAATTTCCGTTTTTCACCAAATTCACCGTTTGAGCAAACAAAACGCGCTTTGAGTGGGAGATCGAAACTGTCCCACAATCACAACCCTCAGTTTTGCATTTTTTTAAATGTAATTTCAAAGAATAAAGCAGCGACATTAAACCATAAAGGAACAAAGATGCTTGGTTTATCTCGTTCGTGGTCTAGTTCTGTTTTGTTTCTGTAACTTATACCACACTAAAAGAAAAACATTTTTTGTTATTTTTGTCGATTGCCGACTCTAATCTTTTAGTTTCAATATTGATGCTATGGTCCAACGAAACTGTTTAAATATTTAACTACAAAAGAAATATGATCGCTACTGAACTGAATTGAAGTGGAAAAACACTGAAATCTAGCTTTCCAAAGCAAATTGTAGCCTCTTGAAAACAATCACGGCGAATCTTAGACGAGATTTATAAACTGACTGGAATGCTTTGCTTGATATTGGCTTATAGCACGCGCTAAAGATTAAACAACTCGTTCGATTTTCCTATTAAATGACACAAGATCATGGTAATCTAAAAAACTGTTACCTGCTACTGTTTTTTGAACCTTCTAGAGTACTTCTTTCATACTGGGTCTTAGAATGGACATTTAAACAAGTGCCGTGAAGGAAATAACACGCTAGACAAAACATCGAAATCCGATTAAAAAAACTCATAAATCACTGTATAGTTTTAAACGAAAGATCAATCAATATCACTATTTACCTCATCTTATAGAATTTTGAATCCAAGCTGATTTATACGGGACTGGTATTACTTTTGATCGTGAAAAATTGCTGACGGTTTAAGTATCCCATATAAAAAATCAGAAGGACAGTTGAATACACAAAAAAAATGTCCAACGCACACAGTTGATATTTCCTGTACATTGTTTTATCTGCATGAAACAGCACCGATTTTCTTCTCCAAGCAGTACAACACACCACATAATCACCTTACACACTTAGTACGAGACTATTTACAATAGAGTTTTTACTAGCTTTAAAATCCCTCTCTCTGTTATTTCTATGCTGGTAAATACACGCGATTTCTACTGAGCAAATAACCAAGATCGAGTCTCGGTTTTGCCTTAGCAAGCATACAATTTACGGCATGCATACTCTTTTCAGAAAGTATTTGCAAGCTTTCCACAGCTTTATTTCGGTACCTTTATACAAGCCTTATTCTCTTGCCTCCTAAACTGAACATTGCATTTCTTAAACCTATTTTTGACAAACGCTATACATTCAGTGAACATTTGCTCCCATTACTTGTAAAACAGACTGACTTTTTCGATAAATAATCTCAACTCCGTGCTGCGTTTTCTTAAAATTTGACAACGATTTGTTCACAACAGCGGGCGCATTTTTTGGGAGCAATGTGAATTTTTTACCAATAAGTTGTAGGTTGTATGTAGGAAGAGTTTACGGAGGGAGGATAGTGCAAGTAGTCGCCTTGGTATGGCGACCCGCTTAGATAGTTACACGAAGGACTAACACAACTGCAGAATTGTCCAGAACCATTTAGCAACGCTCCTTGTGAAAGCGGAGAGTACGGTTTGTCCCAAGGTCCTCGTTCGCTAATCTGCTTACGATATTTGTATCTGTGATTCTGAAACCAAATTTTCACTTGGGCTGGTGTAAGATTTACGATTCTCGCCAATTCCTCTCGTTCGGGCGCAGATAAGTATCTCTGCTGTTGAAATCTTCTTTCCAAGACAAAAGTTTGCGCTTTCGTGAACAACACTCGCCGTTTGCGTTTCTTCAAGTCTTTGTCGGAATGATCCTTTTTGACGGAGTCAAACTGCGAGACGCTTGTTTGTTGGCCGCCTGTGAATATGAAATGAAAGTTGTTCAAGTTAGAGTCCCTTCGATGCGATTTTCAACAGACTACCAGTTACATTATGAAGCCTGAATAATCTATTCTGGATTGCCTCTATTCACCTTATCTCAAGATTGAAACGCTGAATTTGCTCATTTAAAAGTCCTTGAAGTCAAACAACCTCAAATCATCGAAGTTTAATCACGCTAACAAAGACAGAATAAGAGTTTTTGAACACAGCCGGTCGAAACAGAACCGGCTCGCAAACTCAAAAGGTTGACAATTTCTTGACATATTTTTCGCACCATAGCAGAATTAATCACTTGAAGCTTTTTCCGTTTCTATTGAGGATATAAGTGGTGGTAGAAACGATGCGCTATTCGCCACAATGCTGAACAACCTCAGATAGTCGCTACTGTATGTTATACGCTTCTGTGATGCACAATATACAGCTTGACAGTTAAGTAGGGCAACTGCGAGATTTCTCAGATATGATGAAGTTTGAAGGCCTCGCTATTCTTAACTCTAATGAAGAAAATCCTCGCCCGCTATCTTTCATAATAAACTCTCAAGAAAGTCGGCTTATCTCCTGCGTTGTACTCGACTCTTTTAATAATATTTTTGAATACGGCGCCCTTATATCTACCATAAAAAAATTTTCATGAACACTAAAATAATTCATACTTGACTTGGCCGTTTCTGGCGCGTTTGCCTCTGGCTCGTCTGGACTGGACAACGTCTGTGGAGGGTAGCTCCTGTCTTGAAATGACATCTGTTCTTCGCTCTTGGAATTCAATGATCGGATTCTGTCCTCTGGAAGATTAAGAATGTCTCTTATGGAAAAGGATCCCATCCTCACGTTTCGTGTAAACGGTCTCAAATGGGTCCCATTGTGTTGGATGCTAAGATAACAAGATTTAAAAGCAGGTCGCACGCACAGGGCAGGCCGGTCCTAGAACATAGGGCGGGGCTTCACTTCAAACAAATGACAGGCCATTTGAAATAAAACAAATTGCCCTGAATGTCATCAGGCTGTTTTGTTAAGAGAAAGCGCCCTGACAAGACTGACACATCAACTGATTGCTGTGAAGGCATGACTAGATGCCTGTCACATCAACGGACCTAATGTGACAGCAAGACCATTCTCTAGGCGCGAAAAGTTTCCTTTTTCTTTTATTTCACACATGTTATACCGTGGCATTGCACACTGTTGATTTAGGTTTTAATTGGATTGGCGGATTAGGAAGTTTACGTTCATTTCTGTTGTCATTGTTTCGTTTATTACGCCGTCACGATTTGGAAATCATAAAACCTGTATAGCCATCCCAAACAATTTCTTTTCAATTATTCCCTCTTCCGTTGACAGAAGAGCGACCATGAGGCCTCCTTTGGGAATTAACAAGTGAAGGACATCAAAGTTTTGTTGAACGTCGATACAATCACCATGATATGCTGCGAAAAGCTCTCATATCTTATTTCAGAGAAGTGACATTGTAAACATTGCCTCCTCTTGAACATCTCAGGAAATTAGAAGTGTTTTGCAGATCGCCCTCCCAAGGACAGAATAACATTCTTCACTGTTGACATTTTACCTTGAACTTTTTGCCATTCAAACATATGTCCACCCACGGGTTAAATGTGTCAGATTATTTTTATTTCTCTTGCAAAGTATTCTCTGTACAACGTTGTATTCTTTTTACTGACTTATTCATGGTCGCTCTATTGGACTAATTTATGTTAAAATCTAATTGTTTTCGCACACTAATTTTGTATACAGTTCGTCGGGTGAGTGAATTGTCTTACTCTTTTTTTGTCATGAATTAATAATAAGCCATGCTCTATTTTACCAGCAGAGCTACTGTTTTGCACAATAATTGAAATTAAGAGAAAATCTGCTAGAAAATGTTTTGAAATTGTCAGGTTTTGTTTCTATAACATATGTGCTATATAGTTTCACACAAAATGACCAAATATGGAAACTTTCACAAAAGTTTATATGGATATATAGCGTTACGGTCCCTTTTCTTGCTTCAAATTCGGAGATTTCAAAAGAGCATATTCCATTTTGAACAAAGACATTCATCCCTACAGTTAATGGCTGGAGAAAAGTGAAATTTGGCCTCGAAAACTGTAAGTTTTATTGGATTCTCTGTGGGCTATTATCATATCTCATTGGAAATTGTTTATTGTGTTACTTTATAATGACTACCCTCACTTCGTCTCTCTCATTGTATATACCAACTATGTCATTCAATTTTATTTCATCCAAAAAATGACCAGCCTAGTCGCAGGAGAATAGTTAAAAATACCCCCCTTTGTGCAAGATTCATTCCTTTAGATCGAGGATGAACAAAATCGCGTGGCATTGGTGGTGCATTGTCCAGTGTTCGTTGAATTATAATGGCTAATGAAAGAATTAAGCAACTGAAAAATCACACGGGTTTATTGGAATTCCTTTAAAGAACTGGATACATTTTTGTTTTGAACAAATTTTCGTAAAAAAAAAAAAAAAGCGTCGAAATTTTGATTATTTCACAGATTTTGTTATGGCTTTAGATTTATGTTGCATTGACTACGTTTAACGGCATCACAAAAGTTTCGCGCTTGTGGCGCTACGGTTTGTACCAGGTTTGTTTAGGCTACGGAGAGGAGAAATTGTAAGAAGACCAACCTTGTTACCTCATCAAGTCAGTCCATGTAAGGGGTTATTGATTTAAATAGAGTGGAGAGTTCGATCGTTGTAAAGGCGAAAATTCAACATTTTTCGGTGATAAATCTCGTAACAATGAAAACAAACACGCGGAGTAATAACTCAAATTGATGGGCGGTGTTAAAAAGCGCGTGAAACTAAATGTAATCAAAGTTTTGTTACTTTGTTAAGTTTGGCGGGTTGGTGCTTAAAAATTCTTTTATTTTGTCTAGCAAAATGGCCAAAAAAACATTTAGTTTTCTTGAAGGCGAGATCCTTTGGCTTAATACCTGTTTTTAATATGACAACGAGAGAGGCTTTCAACAGATTTTCAAGTGTTACGCGACCAAATTTTATACGTCTCAATTTCTCCTCCACTACAAACCGTGAATTGAAAATCCTTTAGTCAAGAGCTGTAACCTGATTCCACGAGGGTAAACTTTCAAAGATTCCATGTGAAGATTTCGACTTGTTTCTTAATAGATCGATTAAGTTTGTTTGATGAAACGCGCGGTAGAGATTTTCTCATTTAAAATCTTAAGTAAGGCTGCACGTCACAGCTCGCTTGTAATTTGTTCGTGGGACTCTAGCATCAAAATGTTTGCATTAGTTATCACGCTTGATATATCGACAATGCTGGTTTGCTTGTTTTCATTTACGTGAAAGGCTATGAGAGCAAACATTGTGTGGGATTCACTAACAATGCAAAAAAAAACTTTTTCCCTGGATCAACTGACAGATGTGACATTTTGTCTAAATTGAACAATTGCAGCAAGGCAACTAAAGAATTGGCCAAAGAATAGGTTTTAATTCATAGCGAATACATTAAATGATCCCATTATATTCATCGTTAACAAGGGTAGACTTAGTTTTTGAGAGTATCTTTTAGTTATGACTAAAATTTCTAAAGGTAAGTTGTTATTCTGTGCACGCGATTTATTAGGGCTAGTCAAAACTTAGGAGTAGTTTCCTTTGAGTGATCGATAGGGGGTTCAATCCATCTCTTCAATAACCACAACATGTTACCCGTACAAATAAAATTTTCTTTGTTTTTCCAAAGACGAGTCGTACTTATTTACATACGATGTGACTTCAATAGTTTAGACTTTTCAAGGGATATTTATAAAATCTAAAGAGGCTTCGACGAAACATCACCGTAAACTGCTTAGTTCTGCTTTGTATGCACGCGCGATGATTCTTATACTCTGCACGCACCGAATCTCGTACGCCTTTTGTACAGTGTGCCTCACAAAAAAACATACCTTGTTCCATTTGTAATTCTTCGCACGTGGTAAAAAAACTGGAATCACAAGCCTCTCCGTGGGATGTAACGAACAAGAATTTAACTCCGTTCATTAATCTCCGCCTAGTTTGTTTCTTTTTAAATTTGCACGAATCAAGCATCTTTGATGGATTCTTATACCGGGCTGAAAATGACATGAGCGGAAACACAACGTCTCTCCACTTAGCAATGAAGATGGTTCTAATGAAATAGATACAAGGAGATGTTTGACTATCAGAAACAGGACGCTCAGTTGTTTGCTCATGAGACGATCCTTTGTGACAATTTGCCTCAGCTTTCATATTGTTAAAATCATGCAACTTAGAAAGGAATACATCCGCACCACCGACTCTCTGTACATAACGAATCCGGCATTTTCGGACCGTTGTCAAATTTGTAATTACGCCCGTTCATTCCGGAAAGGTTGAATAAGTGAACAAAATATGCGTGATCTAGTGCAGTTTTGAATTATTTCTCCGGCTGGTGAAACGCACTTTAACTACTCAAATTAAAGGGACGGAGAAGTGGCATGAGTGATCATTTCTTACTTGACTCTAAATAGCTGACGTGACAGGCCATAATTTGGGTCGATCGACGAAACGGATTATCTTTTACGTTCCCAACACCGTTTGACCTGTATTGTCGTAAAAAGTGAACGAATCAAGAAAAATTGTTCCCTAAGGCAATGAAAGGTTAATTTTTGAAAAACGTAAAAGAAAAAAAAAAAGACTATTTATTCCTGAGACAAAATCAACAGGAATTCTAATTTTTGTCGGTTGTTTTGTAGGTCACATCAAACGTGTATCACTGAAGACACTGGGTCGTGTTGTTTCCTATGTTTCTTCATCTGGGAATAAAATTTCTTATACCCTAAAGCTAGGAATTATTCACGGCCAGGCAGTTCTAGTTTAGTTCACCAGCAAAAAAAGCTTCACCGGGTTCTAATGAATACAATGTGTTTTACCTGGTTAACGATATATTTTCGGTCACAACCAGCTGTTCCTTTTGACTGAAAACAGGGCAAGAAACCATTTCAATTTCCTTGAAATTAAACACTTTGCTCCGGTTGGGAGGAATTACTTTTACCCCGAATTCTCACAACACTGTCCAAGCAAAACTACTGAACTATCCCATCCATAAACACATGGTTTTGGCAAGAATTTTTATCCAAGTAATTTTGTAAGTCTACCCCATAAAATATTGATTTGCTTCACCGCTGTAAAACGATATGGACTACTGGATACGACAGAGAAAAAAAATATTATTTGCATCTCGGTTCAAGTTCGGTTTTTATAAATTTTAATCCATTTTAGCGTAGTATAGTTATCCCTTCGAGGTAAAGCTGTCTTTTTCCTCGCAAAAGAGTTTTAAAGTAACACTTTTCTTAAGTCATTTGCTAATTTGTTTCTTAAAATTACTTTCAATGAAATGTGCAAGTCAAGAAGTAAGTATTGTATTGTTTATGAAATTTGCACTCGAACGTACAGTCTGTTGTTGCCCACGGCATCGCTACTTCATCTTGTAGTTAAACCAAATTCACGGAAGCAATGCATTCAACCACGCAGCACTTGAAGGCCCTCGATGTGTTTCAAGAGTTAATGTTAGGGTAAAGCCTTTACACGCTGTTGAGATCTGAAGATGTTTTCATCTTATAAAACGCAATGGATCTCTTGAAAGGCTTTCAAGCTACGCTCTCATAGCCCAAGTGGGCGGCCCTTTTGGTGTAATACGATCGCCTTATTGCGATATAGCCATTTACTGAGTGGTTTTTGCAAAACCGTCGAATTTTTTTAACACTAATTAGTGGTTGTTTGGAGGAACGGGTGCTAATGGTTCAGCCGGTAGACAATAAAAATTCGCCGTTCTTTTTCATGTTGTCTGTGCGCCTCTCTCGTTTGAACTGCTTTTTACTGTAGGAAAAACAGGAATTATTCATTCCTTACGATAAAGGGAGAAAAGGATAAGAACAGAGAATAAAGGAATCAGTCTATCTCAAGGCGTAAAATTTTAATCCTCCCTAATTGAACTGTATTAGACGTTTTAGGTTGTAATGTTTATTTATGAGCCGCGCATTGTTGAGTTTGAATGTCAGTCAGTCAGTTGTACGGAACACGCGAAAAACAGAACACTTTTGTGTGTAGAACTTTCTATTGATTCATGATATTCACAGAGCTTAAATTAGAATATCTTTGCCCTAATGCTATAATGGTCTGCCTGTCGATCACCGAGTGACACGAGCAAACAGTTTGTTTGAGTTAGTTGGTTGTTAAGCAAACACGTTTAGCAACGTAATACCTCCTTGTACTTCATCTCTCCGACTGTAAAATATTTATGAGCTTGTGAAACGTTCGATCATCCTAAATTTGCGCTAGTTTTTCATTCTCTCTCTCCGACGTAGGAGTGAGGCGTTAAGAACCGTCTTTTAAATTCGATGAAGGAGACGTATCGGGAACTAAATGAACACCAAAAAATAAGTCAGCTGAACGCATTAGGAAACAATGAAGAGGACTCGTTTCACACGAGGAGGCTGAAAGAAAAAAAACCTTTTCCTGTTAAGTAGCCAATATCTTAAGTACTAAGAAGGTTCTTAGCAGGTATTGGCACGAGCCTTTGGTGGAGGTCGAACAAATGGGTGTTAGAGAATCTATTCAGGGCGCATGTTGTTTCAAGACTTCCCATTCGACCCCTACGCAGCTCGCCGCGTGCTAAACCCTCACCGGGCCGGCGTAAAGCCAAGATCTGGTGGTAATTACAACTCTTGGAACATACCTGTTCCTGTTGAAAAGCCTCAACCAGTGCTCTCATGTATAAGGAAAATACTGTAGTTCATACAGGACTTCGGTAATTTTTCCCTTTGTTCAAAAGATCGCATTTATAATGCCATCGTTTCAATGACAATGCGGAAACGCTTCGCAAACTACTACTCAGTGGAGTTCACAGTTAATATACTCAGTTTTCGCTCAAGGACGGATAAGTCCTTTAAGTAAATGGTTTAAGAATTGTCTTTCAGGTGTTCTCTAGTGCTATTTACTTTAGGAAAGACGCGAACTCGTTCTGTTAAAAAAAAAATTATAAAACTGCTCGGATATCAATGTCTGTCCAGCTTTATTTATAGCGCACCCATTGTAAGACGAAAGAAAACTTTTTATTCCTTAATTCTTTTGTGAAAGTTCTGACGGTTTGCGCCAACCCAACGTAAACATTTGGCTTTTTAGGAAAGATATTAAAATGCAACTGGGACTCATTAACGAAGCGTTTACAACCCCACAATCAAACGAACATTCACGTAATTAAAATGTTGACAGTGTCCAAATGCTCCTCGTACAATATGTAGAAAGCCATTTGCTGAACAAGCTTAGCAGCCGGTAGTCTTGAGAGAGCAGCGCACTGCAAATAAGCAACCACTTATAAAAAGTGGTATTTCTCAAGAATTCAGTCTATAATAAAAAATATGTAATAAAAACAATAGTATATAACACCTTCCAAACACTCAAACGTGTGCGTGATATCGTAAATAGGTTTAGACGAAAATAAGAAGGAAAAAACATGGAAAGCCGGGGCGATTAGCAAAGGTGCAAATTTTTATAGATTTTATCACTAATCCAACAGTTCTCTCTTCCGATCGACCATTAGCTGGTGTTCAACCTTTCAACTTCGATTACAACGATATTTCAAAATGTGAAGAGGCGTGGATAAGGCTACATGAGCTGAGTCCTTGAGACATTTATATGGGTCGCAAGTTGAGGAAGTGTCTTGAAATTAGTTTTGGACGTCAGAACTCCAATAAAGTGACCCATTCAAGAGAAAGCAATGATTGTTTGAGTTCTAAGCGGGGGGAAGCAAGCAGTCGGGTCAGCCCGCCCAGCGTGACATGTCAGATGAAGCCTTTTAGGGCAAATCTGTCATTCGAAAGGGGTTTACGTGTGACAGGGCATTCAATTGCTATCTTTCTAATTAATTGTGATGTCAACTTCGTCACCACCTTAACCTATCAATAGAAGTCGACTTACGCGAATTTGGGCAACATTTGTTTAATGTCAAACATCTTGTTCAACACTTGAGAGCCTGGGCACGCCCCAAAGTATAAGAAGTTTGGCTGCGAACCGCTTCGGATCGAGTATGACTGAATTGCGACTGTGTTTGGCTTTGTAATGGCACTCATCTGAAATCCATGTCCGCAATCGATCGATCTTACGACATGACTTCGTTCTCCGTCAGAGACATTCTTAATTTACCCGACACCGGACTATGCCCGTCTAAAAGCGAAACAACCCATGAATCGTCCTCAACCGAGAGTTATCATTGCCCTGGCGGAAACACTCATACTCCGTCATGTGGCTCTGTAGTGTGTAATCAAGGCCAAGAGTACTCATATACAAGTAAGAATGAACTTGATTTTGTATCTTTGATCGAGCGAAAAGTAAACGCCGGTATTTATGAAGTGCTAAACTCGATAGATGGTAAAAATCTCGCCGAAGTTCTCGAAAGAGTTTATTTTGTTTCTTCTGTAAACTACGCGCGACGCGACGGATTTTTCGCATACAACCGAATTTCTTTTCCGGAAAACATACAATGACGCGTTTTACGAGGCAATTGCAAGCACGACTGAAAGATGACTGCAGTTTCAAATTTTAATTGAGTGAATGCCATATTGCTTCTAGTTTTGAAGGTTGTTTTCTTTATGTGCCTCGTGTAAGGGACAACAGGCTAATTACTGTGGCTTACAGTTCACCTAATTTCTTACAACTTCGCAGCTCTTTAGTTGTGTCGTAGATATCGTTACATAGGCGAAACATTAATGAAATTTTTTGTTTTTCCGCCGTAACAGATCCACATCCGAGCCCGACAGAAAGGCCTTCGACATCCTCAGCGGGCTCCCAAGAAATATCTGAGCGAGAGGAAACGCCAGATGACTTGAACGATCCGCCAAAAAAGCGGAAACGAAGAGTTCTGTTCACCAAGGCGCAAACTTATGAACTCGAAAGAAGGTTTCGTCAACAAAGGTACCTCTCCGCGCCGGAGCGCGAACAGCTCGCGAGAATAATCAATTTAAGCCCGACGCAGGTGAAAATTTGGTTTCAGAATCATCGATATAAATACAAGAAACAGAGTTTTGAAAAAGGAGTTATGAATGAAGGACCTCCATTGTTCACCCCAAGAACTGTTCCTGTGCCTGTCTTAGTGCGAGATGGCCAGCCTTGTCATGGCGCTTCGGTCAATAATTTTGGATATTTACGGCACGATCCTTCAGACTTCTATCATTTTCCTGCAGTAAGTTCATCATACATTCCTCCTAGCAATCCTTATTGGAGCTGGTAGCATAAGCATGCTTTGTACAACGTGTGTTGCGAGAGGAATCCACAGAACAATGCAGATCTCCTTGAAATAATCTGTCACGGAGAAAAGAACAAAGTCAATTGTAAGCTTATAAGCCAACATTGATTTCAAAAACCTACGAGGGCAAAGGATCTCATTATTTAAAGAATCTAACAATTTGTCCAGGTTTGATGTTTTTATTAGATGTTCTTAAATTTCTTTGGAGTTCTCTTTCGACAAACGCGCAGCAAAGGCTATTTTCGTGTGATATAACAGCTGTTGTCTTTTACGTCTCAGAAATGATTGAAAAGATTTTTGTTTTTATCCTTTAAAAATTGTAAGAAACCAGATTTTTTTAGCAAATGATTTTGTAGATGTTTCTTTTAAACGAAAATTTTTGATTTCGTAGTTATTTTTGTACTATAAGTTGCTAGGTTGCTTGAAAATTGTTCCTAATGCTTTTAGTAAATGCATGTCTGAAATTATGAAGATGAAGATAAGAGCTCATCATTTTTCAGGAGATAATCCTTGGCAAGGTAAACTTAAATTCTAATTACAAATCCTCTCGTTTTCACTAAAATGTTAGTTATTTGAGTTTGGCGTAAACGTCGGTAGCAATTAGTTAGTTTTCTTCGCCAAAGCAGCTTTTCGTTTTACCGCACGAATTGTCACAAAACATTACAACCGCAATGCTGGGCGCTCACGAATGAGTGAATCAAAATTGACAACGCAATATTTGGCAAACAACACGTCTCGTTCTACTTAAAGGATTTTATGAGATGTCCTCTAACACTTTGACACACAATTTTCGCACTTAACCCGGAGCCTGCTTTTGTAAAACCAAACAACCGAAGAAATTCTCTCATTAAGACATGAAAGTACCAGTTTTTGTTTTCATTTTAAAGTGAAGATGGGGAAAAGGTTGTTACGGGCTTTGGTCACAATGTTTAATGGACCGTGGAATCAGCTCGTAATTGATTGTTGTTCGTGTTTACCCGATGAAAAAAGAGGAGTGGTCAGTGTAATTTCTTAGAATGGATCTTTACCAAATTGAATCAACGCTAGTTTGCCTTCGGATTAGCTCAAAAGAAAACAGTGACAATCGACAGACATCGCGAGCAAATCGTTTCGATATCACAGAGTTTGAGTCAATTAGAATAAGTTATGCAATTTGAAACTTATAATACTTCCTCTATTTTGAATTACAACCTACACTGTACTCAAAGTTAAAGGTAAAATTGGTACTACGCTTCATGTTATTGAGAGCTTCAAGTCGCAAATGGAAAAAAAAACGAGAGAATCGAAAGAAAACACTATGAATAATACATTACCCACTGTTTCACTTATACCTCTTTGTTGAAAAGTGTTAATAAATTAGAGAAACAAAAACATTATGTTGGAATGATTTCGAGTGTTGGAAGCGGGCGTGCTAACGAAGAGCGAAATTTCGAGCACTTGTTTTCTTCTCGAGAGCAATATGTCAAACTCATCCGACTTTTAACAGACGTTTTCACGCTTTCGTAGTCAAGTGTAGCTTTGGCGAGGATGGGAAAAGATAGGTGCAGATGTGTAAAACATAGTTCTTGGTTCGAATTCTTTTCTGTGTGATGCAAACTTGCCTGCTTCTTCAGTTTTCCTACGTATTTATAATTTCAAGTCACTTCACAGAAGGCAAGACTTTCACGAACTCGATTACCTCCGCGCAGCGCGTGTATAAATGAACAAAGTTTTATTTATTTTATTTAACCTATCTCAGTTACAGCTGACTACTTTAAGTAATGGAACACAATTAAACATTGGAAATAAAACGAAATATGAAAGCTCTATGTAAAACGTGCATGTCTCTGTTTAGCTATTTTTAAAATTGACCCACGAAGACACATGCCAATCCGGCCAAGAAGAATCCAGTTTGAGAATGATTTCCAAAGCCAAGCACTTCATTGTAACTGCTTCTTTATTTTGTAGATTTGAGATTGTGGCAAACAAATTAATAGCAATCATACATAGCCATATTTTGCAAGAATTATGGCATTATAACTACTCTACCACATAAATATATGGAGATCTCTAACACTGAAATGCATATAACCTATGCAAAGTGCCCCCCATGTTTGAAGAGGGAAACTACTTATATCGTAACTGAGATTTTATAGGGTTGTTTTACGATGATGTGAAAGTTCGTAGATGATGTTTTTGTCTCACTGAAATATGACAGAGACATTTTTTTGTTAATATAATGGACAATGTGTAGTTAAAAGGAGGTAGGCGTCACAGGTGGTAGAGTTGCTTAAGTGACGCGCTGATGTAAAAATGTCTGATATTGTATTGGAAACTCTGGATGGTTCTCTTCAACATTGTTATGTCTTAGTTACTTTTAATCTTTCTTTATCGTCGGATTTAAATCATATCTATTGGCGTTATTCCATTCTTTTCATGAGCTACCAGTTAGGAGCACTTCACACAGCTGGTGGTATGGAATGAAATTAGAGCAAAGGCCACGGAAAGATGCTACATTGTGTGGAGGTAGCGGATATTCAATTTGTTTCTCGGGAAATAAATGGAGGTGTTCCCCGCTTCAACGTGCTTTTATGATTCGTATTGTTTTGGTTGTAACTCATACCTCATCTAAGTATTTATTACAGCTTTGGTATACCTATGGGCGTTTTTATTCGAATCTCAAGTAAATGCAAGAATTAGGTTTATTGTTTAAGGATAATGTTTTGAATTGGAACGGTTGTTGCTTCAACAACTAACAGGGCCACTTAAAAAAATGAAAAAAAAATTTTCTCTTGAAATATTAAAATGTCTTTAATGCATAAAACGCGGTAGAACCTTTTAAAACAAGGAATCTATTAAAATTAGTTGAAGACCAGTTAACGAAGGTAGTTATGAGAGGAGATGACATCCCACTCGTTTTTGTGTAAGAATTTACTCGCAAAGAAAAAAGAAACGCCGCCGGTCGAACACAGAATGCTCGGCCCTTTTTGAAACTTCTTACGCAAAAAATAATTTCGGTTTGTTTTCCCTCGAGCAAGATGGTCAGTAGACGAGTGTCGCGACCGAAGCTTTCCTCTTTATTTACATGTACCAGAAATTCAACTTTTCGCCGCAGAGGAAAAGCTCATTGACTCCACTTAAATTAACACTGAAACTATTCTTAAAATTCGGTTTGAAGTTGTTTCGTAGTTAACTTTAGAACACTATAGTCGAACGGTGATGATATATGAGCTGTCAACTACGCAGACATTTGGACGCATTTTTTAAAGTTACCCCTATGCGTCCCAGAGAACACTACCCTCAAAACACGATCACTCAAATGGCAAACACTTTTTTAATTTACCTGAATTAGTCGCATAGGTTTTAAAAAGCCATAATTTACCCGCAACTCGTATTGAAATCACCGGCCGGTAAAGGAGCAACCTACTCGAGTGAAGGAGGTCAGCCTTCACGATACAGCTTCGAGAATTGTTTATTTTCATTCAAGAGACTACAGAGTACCTTCTTGAATATTTTTTTAAAATGCGATTAATGGATTTTGTTTTCTACTTTTTGTTTTGTTTTGTTTGAAACCCATACTGCCTTTTTTTACCATTATTAATGGGTTGTAACTAGCTGCAATGTCGAATGGACTTCAGAAACTAAACCTGTTTTGCATACCATGACATTTCGCTTAATGGACAGTAGAGGAAAATGTGAAAGAAAGCAATAGAATACCTGAATGTTTGGTGACAGAATTACTGTTCTTAAGAGTAACTGAATAAAGCTTTTTTTATATATATCCACCATGTGTATATCTACACTGAATATTAACAACCAAGTACCGCTACATACTCTTTGCGTTCTCTGCGTGAATCTGCTTCCGTGACGTCTGAAAGCCAAGTTGTGCTTCATGTGTTTGAAGTCGAAGTTCTCGAAGTTGACATCAAGCTTCGTAACAACTAATCGTTGTATAAAGAGAAAGTCAGTTGCGATTTACGAAAAAAGGTGAGGCTTGTGTATGTCTTACAATTTGAAAGTAGTTTTCCACAAAAAATTATCGATTTACACTTTCAAGGGTGAAACTGATCTTTTCAATTACTTTTAAGACCACTCCTACAAAAAGCAGATATGGGAATTATTTCGTCTTAAAACTAATCCTGTAATCTCCATCCTTGCTCTCCAGCACCCTGGTATCAGTTGCTGATCCTTTTCTTTGCGTTCTGAAATTTAAAAGCGATAGTAGATTATGTAAATAAACAAAGCCTTCAGATGACCGACTTCCACACCCGCAGGATTTGAAGATGACGCTGTTACTAATGCAAAAGTTGTAGCTCTAAATACATTGCATTTATCATCCTTTACAATTTCTACTTGGACGGCATTTCCGTTTTGTTTGAGATTAAAAATGAAAGAAGACAGCTAACTAAATAGAAGCAAAGGAAAGTTTATTTGAAACTTAGAGCAACGCTGCATTGCGATTCGACCCAAAATATAGTCGTCGCGGAAAGTTGATGCTCATTTCAGACTATCCTATGGGTTTAAACTTAAAAAACTTCCACTTATTTATTGCTCGATTTCTAAGTCCGTGGTATGTCTGTGCGTCTGTTTTATCTCCATCTCATTTATTTATAAACGGGGCTTTAGACTGGTGAACCCAGGGTGATAGACTTGCCCTGCAATTTATTACTTAAACTTTAACTTGCCACGTATTACGGCAGGAAACTAAACTGAAGCACAGCAACTGTTCTTGGTTAATTTCAATGGCGCCAAAGTGTCTGTAAAATGCACTCAGAGCAACAAGCCGAGAGCCACCTTTTAAGAGAAAAATTCGATGTTTATCTCATTTTAAATCCCAATTTCTCGCTATTACATGGATCTGGTTTCTCGACCGGTGCCATTTGACAATAAAGGAAGTATTAATGCTTCTGTTATCAGTCGCTTTTCTTAAAATTTCAAAATAACTTAAGGGCTGCAACGAGCGAAGCCTTTTTTGCGACCATGAAACGAAGCCGCCTTCTAAAATATAATCTACAACGATGGCTTTGTCCTGATCCAAGAGGCACCTCCTTCTTCAAAGAGAAACTACTACAAGTCTAAATGCGCTGCGGCTTCTTAAGAAAAATGGTTTTGCGGTCAAAAAACTTACTATGATAAAAGGAAAGGCTCCAAGCTGAGCAGGTATATTAGTATCGATGTTCACACGACCTAAGCAAAAAAATTATCGACACTCACTAGTGAAGGATGACCTCTTTATGAATTTAGGAAACAGAAGTGAGTAAGCTTGTTAGTAGCTTAGCGGTTTGTCTTTTACTTTCTAAAACCGGTGACATGGCAGAAACACCGATGAAGCGTCGTATGTTATTTTGTCAAGCGAAGTGGCCTGTAACAATCCAATTTTCATCCCTCGAAAAAAAATCACACATAGTTGAGTGTTATTACAGTAACAGTTAAAACGGTTGAATCCAGTGACTTGATTTTTAAGAGTTTTTGATTGTAATAAGTGTTTTAAAAAGTCCTTGAATGTTTCCATCAGGATGCTTTTTTATGGTCACGGAAAATGTAAAATTTCTCCTTGCCCCTTAGACCGTCGCCATCAGCTTTGGCTGTTATCTTCCCATAACAACCAGGCTGTAGGGGATGAAATATATAGGGGCAGGCATGGTTCACCAAACATGCTTTCGTTTTCATCTCAAGAGTGAATATTGTATGCAGAAGCTGTATAAAAAAACCAGTGAAAGGATATCCACTCGACCTTTCACAAACTGTAGTGAATTGCGGATTTCTGGTCACTTTAGTCATGAATGCTTAATGCTATGAGAGGGTTTCGGATTACGTACACTTAACGTTTAATAATTTGGTTTTGAAGAGCTCACGTGGTTTCAGCTTCTAGAGATAAACTTAATACGCCATATGTGCCAGAACTGCGTTTAATTCGTATCGTATAATATTGCCAGGGATGCGATAAAAGAATTAACAGGAAGAAGATAACAAGAAGATAAGTCTTTCCCTCCGCGCACTGGATGTGCTTGTAGGCGCGGCATGTAAATTTTGGTCTTCAACAGGAAATCTTCCTACCTGTTTGTAAATGTTTTTAAAGAGCCAGCGTTTGGAACTGTTCCAGAGAAAGAATCCCTTGTAAAGCTTTTGAGGTTCACAAGTGCTAAGTTTAACCACCTGATTTGAAAGAAAGCGCAACCAATACGCCATTGTTTAAAGTAGACAGCTGATGTAGAAGCTGTATGTAAATGCAAACATGGCCGCAATAGCAAAATTAAAATGAGCACTTTTTGACGCGCTGATAAAACAAACCGTAAATAAATAGAAAATTGAAATTAGGGATTGCATCGCGAAAGTTATGAAAACTTCAATTTCGGTAAAGAATCGTATCAATTGTGGTGCTTCTCAGATGATAAATGGCTGCATACTCGTATCTGTAAGCTGACTACCATGGAAGCGCAAGCTTATCTTCCAGTAGTTCAATTGAAAATGCTTTACACCTCAACTTGTCAAGACTGGTTTTCAAACCCAACAACCCTGTGTTAAGATTCGGCCTCCCTAAATCACTGTGTAGTATCAAAAGTTGGAGAAAACATACTTGAATTAGGATTTTCATTGCTAGCGGAGATGCTGTCTGTAAATTGCTCTTTTCAAGTCGATCAGTAGACGAAGGCGAGGAGAGGCTGACTCAGATATGGCTGTCAGTCCAGAATTAGTTACATTCGGAGCAGCTGGCATTAATATTTCGATAAAATTGCGTCTCTTTCTCCAATGCTCCCGTGAAACTTTAGCCACAGTGCGCGGATATCAAATAAATAAATGTGAAATGATTTTCGTACACGAAGCGTAACTGCCAGGGAACTTTAACTACTCACGCCCAAATAACTTCCTTTAAAAGCCTAAAATCGAGTCGTTGAGCTTAAGTTAGCTTTATTTTCAATTTGTGCTCTATATTCTGGGTATGCTTTAAGGGATTAATTCACCAGATCTATGGGAATACGACGCTTTAAGCTAATAAGCGATCATGAAATACTCATCATATATATGATCAAAGCAACTCATTGTAGCTATAACACATGCTGCTAACATAATCATGAGCGCTGAATACATGCAGTCAACTTTCTCATGGGTGCTATTTGATTCCTAGTTTATATTTTGTTTGGAATGCCAAACAAGCTAGAATTAGCTACATTTAAAATACAAATTTCTAAGACGCTCTGAATCGAGCATAAATTAATGTATGAAAGAGGAATGTTTCATTTCTTTTGCTAAACCGGCATTGTAGGTTGGACAAATATTTAGTCTCTTCGAGCTATATGCTTGGTTTGTTTCAAGCAACAGACTAGGCTATACAGCAATCTGCGATAAATACAATCTAAGGAAAACTCAAACATAGATTTCAACTGACTTCAATAACAACACCAGTGGTTCGCTCTAAATCCAGATAGGGCAACTGAAATATTTCAGTTTTCTGTAATGTGTAAATTTCGCTGAAATCGGATTCCGGTCGTACCTTTTATAATCGTTTGTAAATCGAAGCTCTAGTAGAATTTTCAGAGAAAAAAGGCATCAATTTATTGGTTTCATCGAAAACTAGTTTACAGTGGATGTGAGCAGCGTTCCAGAAAGTCATTCCTCTTAGATGTTCAGTTCTAAAGAACGCCTGCAGCTGCACGTTGTTATTTACAGTGGTTCTTCACCGAGACGCAGAAGCAATGCGTTGTGAGCGAGTGATTCCTTTTGGTGACTGAAAAATTGAATTCCATGTATGTAGTAAGAATTTTGCGCTAAAACCAACCCGGTTTGGTTTTTTTTCACCTAACGACAGAATGGCATGAAAAAGGTCACGTTTTTATTGATAAAAATTTTGAACTTCAACCGTGACTGGAATCACGACAATGTGAGATGAAGAGTGAAAGAATGACTTGCCACTTAAATAAATACCTAGTTGATCGAGTTTTCCTCTACATTTGCAAGGCGAATAGATGATGTCCGCTAGAGGTCTAGTAGGCTAGAGATTGAAATATTCCCGAATGTCTCATGATATGGCACAGTGCCGGCCAGTTCAGCTTGGAACGTTATAATACTAGTAAGTGCTACAAACTGTGTCAGTTGCCCTTGGTTCTAGGTCAGTCGTTAAATGTAATTCGAATCTTTCCCTGTCAATGAATGCCACAAAATGCACTATTACCTTCACCTTTTACTGATTTCGCCATGAGCACGCGGCTGCAAAGCTGTTGAAACTCGGTCTAATCAAGAACCAAAAATATCAGTGATATCATCGGGCCTCTGTGCTAAGTCAGAAAGAATTAGTCAATTGTTTAAAGCGGTGCCTTATCTTTTAGCGTACAACAACTCAGGCATAGCACGCGTCGCTGAATGAATTTATTAACTGCAAAGCACTTCACTTGCTTGGAAACTCTGCCTATGAAATTCTATGATGTTCTTCACGTCAAGATTTTCCATAGAGAGATAATTTCTGTTGTTTTTCGACCCGTATTACTTTTCATTTAACCATTTAAAATCACGAGAGATAAAACACTTCAGAGATATGCTCGGTTATGAATTCAAGAACAAAAAAAGGCGGGTCATAATATTTTTTTTTGAAAAGTTTTCTTTAGGTGGAAATAAAACCTTGCTTCAAGTTGGCAAAGTTTGGACTACAATGCAAATAAAGTGAAAGTTACTTCCGATATTTCCCTAATAAGGTTTAACCAAGTAATCAAGACATGAGGTTCCATGTCTTTTTATTTGCTCTGAACACATTTTCACCCACAGATTCATTTCCTTTGACAAGTTTATCCTTTTGGTACCCCGCTTTATCTATGAAATAGAAAGTGTCTTAAGCGTTCACGTTATCTGTTTATAATACCGCGAGTATTTTATGGCGCGCTTGAAATATCTTTATGAAGTTTTCTGTTTTCTTGTTTGCTTTTGGTAGCAGAATTCTTATGAGAACATGGGAGCTGTTCACAATGGAACTGAACATCCAGCCTTGCTATTCAATAACACGTTCTTCTTTTTGTCTGTCTGTCGGAAGCACATTAGAACAAATTAGAACGTTAGGTAAATGGCATTTCTCACAACATTGATGTCTCAATACTTCAAGAATCTGAGAGCTCATAAAAGCAATGTTGGAACCTTTGTTCTCTGCAGACAAAATCGCATGTCAAGTGTCATCATTTTCCATGAATGAAACTGGCGGTCAGTTTGCATGAAGTTTAATTAGTTTTCCCCCAGTTCATAAAACTGGTTTGACAGCCCAAGTGTGTGTTTTTCATCTGAACCGGGCATAAATGACTCCGTGTTGACAACTCCGCTTGTCCAATGCCACGCGTTCCATATATTGTTGTCCATGGACTTCATCTGTGTGAATAAAAACGAATAAAGTTAACACATTGCCCGTACGTGTCAGCACAGGTGAAGGCAGGCAGATTAAACAATGCCACATTTATTACAAACGCGAAACAATTTCAATTCTTACTGTTAATGAGAAAGCGCTTTATCGTCCAGCCGGCTGAAAACCAAGGGAGTTTGTCCCACGCAAGTTTAATCCGGCTTCTTTCTATTCTAACCCTCATTTTTCCCTAAGCTTTTCAATCAAGGACTGACCTTAAGAAAACTCCTTAACAATAACATAAGTCTCGAGGAAGTGCAATAATTGTAAAAATTCTGTATGTTCATCCCGGGAACCCTTAGTAAAATTTGGAATATTAAGGTGCTTAATACCAAGGTTAAAGTTGTTGCTGTTCGTATTGACAAAACTATTACCTCTCATGTACATACACTTAAGGTATAGAATTACACAAGTCTGGCGAAAGGAAATGAAAAAAAGAAATCTAATGAATAAGGCTTTTTTTCATCTTTAAAATGCAGTAATCACATGACGGCGGCGATAAAAAACCTTAACTTGAAGTGTACGTGCAAGCCACTGCAAGAGGTGAACTAATCTCACATATCGGGCTGAAAAACTATGCAAATATGAACGGAAAAGCAATTAAATTCATTATGAGACAACGTGGATGATAGCAGCTGGTTGAATATAGTGAAGGGATATCCTTAAAAAGAGAATTTATACCAATATTTTGGTTTTTGCTTCTTCATCCAAGGATTAATTCAAGCTGAACTTTTTACTCAAGTCCGAGGGTAATATTATACAATAAAAACCGATCATAACCTATACTAGAACACTTTATTGTAGTAGGGGGTTGTAACGTTTTAAACCAAGGATAAAACCTTTGTGTGTGACCATTCTAATGAAAGTTACTAAGCAGTAGATTCATGTGGTCGTGTTTGTTTTACAGTACGAGGTGGTACTAGCTTGCACGTTTGTGTAACAAACCCCACATAGGGCGACTGGTTCATTCAAATGAATCAAGGCTACTTTGGATTACATTCTTGTGGCTTTGATTGTTATGCTGGGAAAGGTGGTTGGAAATTTTAGCGTGTAAATGAAAGCTCTCGATCTGAGCACGTACTGCCTTAATTAAACTTTACAAAGTATTCAGACTTTTAGTCTGTTGATAAAACCTTAGTGTATGTCAATCAAATGGAAGCTAGTCTGTTCATTTGGTGCTTTTTTTCTTTTTGCTGCACAAGATGGCCCTAACTTTATGTCTTTCGATAAAACCCTAGCGTGAGACATTCAATTAAAAGCAATTGGGGAGGTTCCCATATGGTATTGTTCATTACTGAAAACGAGGTTTCTCTAACTCTAATACCTACAGGTTCGTGAGGAAAATACTACAGATACAAAGAGTAGTAATTTCGTCTGGTACTTTTGTAATATGCTGTGCATGGTGGTTTTGTAAATTTTAAGCATCTGAATGAAACCCTCCTCAGTGACCGATTAGAATGATTTGTAACGAACAATGCCTGCGCGGTGTAAGCAAAAGTATCTCTAACTTTTGAGTTTTAGCTCAGAATTATTTTGCCAGGGCGTGAACATTTCAGTTGTAAATTTTGAGGAGGTACTTTTGAAGTTTTTAATTTTTTCTGTCATTAATATTGTGTTTTTTTAAAACTAGTTTGGAGGTTGTGAGCAGTCTGTTCAGAAGTATGTCTTTCTAAACTCTATTTTCCTTGACAGTTTCTTTTCTTGACATATTTTTTTTATTAACTATAGAAGTTTATATTTCCATCAAATACAACCCATTTATTGCATACGTTATGGAATAAAAATAATTGAAACACCTGAGGACGACCGGAAAGCTTTCAAAATCATATTGTGGGAAATTAACTTTCAAAAACCCCTTAAAATTATTGGTGGATCGCGCTCTAAAAAAAAGTTAAAATAAAAATTAACAGAATGTTCACGCAATTTAATACGTGTCAGTTCCTTCCCGTCTGATGGCTAAAAATTCACAAAAACCGTACAAAAATATATTCACAAAGGTGACCCTGTTCTGTTCTTTGTGTCGAACACGGGTCATGGTGGCAGTGCAGTAATAAAGGTACAATGTTAGGGGTAATCTGCGATGATTGGACCCTTAGCAAGTTGAAGGTTGAAACGTCAAAGTATTTGTAAGTTTGGGACCACCCGCGTTGTTTTGAACAAAAGTTGAGCTTTATTACAACACAGTAGCTGTCCAATTCCTGACAGATAAACGGGGATAACTTTCTTGCTGTATTCTGACCTAAATAGCAGATAACAAAATACTAGAGGTAATTATTTTCGCAACAAAACTATATCACAAGGCTTCTATCTCGGATGGAATGACAGATTTGTTTCGCAGTCGCGATAAATTGCTTCCTTTAATTCCACGCCAAAATTACTTTTGATTAAAGCATGCGACTTCTAGATGAATTTTTCTGACAGGAAGTAACGTGAAAAATATTCATCCTCAATCATTTTCATCCCCAGGAAACGACAACTCAATTAGAATAACTCTTGAGTACGACACCTGTGGGGTACAACGTAATCCAAACTCGAGGCATGAGAGAGTCCCCCGTTATCATTGATTAGATGTTGTCTTTTTCCCCATCGCGGATACGAATGTATGAGATCCAGAAGGTAAGATGTTGGCAGTTTTAGCAGAGCCCCTTTCGCCTTTTTCTTTGAAATCAGTTCTCTCAAGATCATAGGACTTGTTATAAGCACGGCTGGGACTATACCACACCGCAGCCGGATCTGGTTTGTTATCTCATTTGGTCGATCATCCCAATCAGCTATTTGAACGTTTGACAAATTTGACCGAGTTCTTCATTTGTAATTTATACAGGTGTATTGTCTGTAAAAAATTGCATGGATCCCTCAACAGACTCCTTAAAATAGGTACAAGATAACAAAGTATAACTCACATTTCATTCCATAAGCTCCACAGCAGAAGAACACCCTAAAAAATTTTCATGAAAATGTTCGATTTGGTGTAAGAGTTTCAGATACTTAAGGGTTATGATTCAAGTGCTGTTAACGTTCTCAATATTTTGAGAAAAATCCTTTTCAATTAAATTATCAGATAACTAAACATACCCTACATCTCTTATACTCATTCTTCAACAATCCAGCATGTGCGGTCTGTATGCATGGACATGCGACTCCGTTTAAAGTTTGTTTTGTTTTAATTTTTTTACGCTTGAATAATTTCCGGCTGAAGTGATATCCCAGAGAGTGAAAACCTCCAAATTGTTTCTGAGAATTAGCAGGAGAGATTTTACTACTTTCAGCTCAAACCATTTATAATCACCGGCTCCCTCGAAGGGATTTTCTAATTACCAAGAGCCCAGACTTCATTGTAAATGAAACAATTTGAGGTGGAAATAGCAAATAGATTTAGTGTGAGGTCAATCTTATTTCGGAAGTTCAGACGGTAAGCCTTTAATCTCCGAGCAAAAAATGTTCTTTTGGCATCACCCTTCGCTCATGCAGTGTCAAGAAAGCTTTTCGAAAACCATAAAACACACTGATTTGTTTGAGTTTAGCCATAAAAGATATTTTGATGACAATATCTGCTTCGTGTCATGATGAGGCGCCAAATTGTTTTCCTAGTGCGTTCGGGTCAAAAAGTTAGTCCGGCCCACTATTAAAACTAGAAAAGGCTCAGACAAGAGGCGTGGACTTGATAAAGAGAACCTCAAAATAATTACCTGGCGTAAATTCTCATTTAACCGTTCTTTTCTGCACTGAGATTTTATCTCAAGCTTATGGAGAGATCACCGAGCTTGAACGAGGTTCTGGTTTGAAGAAAAAAGACTTGAAGACGTGGGAAATGATTCCGTGATATTTGCTATCGCTGACAAAATCAAAGTCATCGCAATTCTGCCCACTTGTCAAAAACGATAGTAGATGACGCCAAAGAGCTGTCCTTGTGACCTTTAAAGATGAAACTGAGATTTAGATTAACAACGAAAAACGAGGTAACGAAAACAATAACTTAATTGAGTAAACTTCATACTCCTCGATGAACTTCTACCTCAACGAAGAATCGAACTGCATGCAAAGAAGGTTTTTTTGGGGGGCAAAAATTTCTCTGGGTCGATTCATTGTGATGTGCGGTCGATACCATCAGTGAAATGAAACATTGGCAGAAACAGGGTCTATACATGCGCTGTTGAAGGTCACAGAAACATCTTTGTCACTTTGATAGTAATCCCCCTAACAGGTATTCAAAACATTTGTGTTTTATTGTAGAAAACCTAGATGTTTGTTGAGGTCAATGTGGCTGTTTCCTGTGTTTTGAGCCACAGTAGATATGCTGATGTCCTACGACATTTGCAAACATTGACAAGACCGCACGATGCTTGGCAGGCCTTAATTATACGATCTGTCATATCTTGGAACATTTACAGGGTTTGTGCACCTTACAATCGGAAAAATAAATAGCGTAGAAGCTTACTTTAGTGTCAAGAAACAGTCCGAGAGGTCTTGAAAATCAGGACCACCCCCACAGTTCATTAAATAGTAATCAGAATATAGTGGGAGTTTCAGATACATAAAAATATCAAAACTACCGGCTCTGATCGAAGATTTCTTAAACTTTAGTGATGACCCCTCGAAAAGTTACTCTTAATATTTTGAGATGAATCTCAAACCAGACAGAAATGTTCTCGAGAACAAGACTTAACCGATTTAAGTCATATCTCCTTGAAATATCAACTCCGAATCAAAACAGGTTGAGATGCGTAGCGCTGAAGTAGCTGTCAACAGCTCGTGTTAAGGAATTAAAGAACTGGAAATCTGTTAAAACCTTTTAAGATACGATTTTGTTTTTAGATTTCAAGTCGACGTGAGAGGAGAGAGATAGGTCGTCAAAATGTATTGTGACAGCAGCATTTCAAAGCTTCACCCGTCGAGAAATAACAAAAGAACCTATTTTAATTTTGGCAAGAAAAACACCCATCAATCAATCTAATTTCTGAAGGTTTTTATAGGAAGACAAAGTTGTCAGGCCTGTCGACTCGAGTTATTAGCAATTCAAAATCATTGATTCTTTAATTTAAGCCAAAATCACGTACTGCTTCAATGAAGCAATAACGCAAACACCATGAGCACAGATATTTTTTTTTTCTGAAAACGGTTCATTCGTTCCAGCTCAAGAAAACACTGGAAGAAATTGATTTCTAAACGGTTAATTGCTCAAGAGCTAATCCAGTTAACTGTATTTAATAAACAATTCGCCAGCTCCACCATTGAACAATGGTTTTCCCGCCCTCCTCTGCCGAGTTAATTCAATGTTTTGAGAGGCGTGAGGGAAAAAAGGCATTAGGATACGGGAAGTGGTCAAAGATCGTTCAATTACACCAGGATGGCAAAACGCACACCGGATTGGCAGCTCACTAAATGAGATTAAAACCTTAATTGGAATACGCTGTTAACGAACAGATAGTCAAGGAAAAGGCAAGGCCAAGTTAAAGGGAATCGTTTTAAGCCCTGTAAAACCTTTGGCTTTGTCTGAAACGTTTCAATGGCTATCATTTTAATTAACGTACATGTCAAAGGGGTGACATCTTTTTATCACCCTAAATAAATTCTCCTCAAACAGTGAATAATAACATGTGTTCTATGTCAATTCAGGCGAGTCATACATGACGTGTCTCAAGCTCACTCATTAACCAACCCACACATTCCTACCTACTCTTTGATCTGTGTACAGTCAATAGGCCAGCAGCCATCTTGAGTAGCGTCCGTCAGGGCTCGCGTTATGTCTTCTTTTTCCGTGAAGAACATCCTCAGCTTGCCGGAATCGTGTCTTCAAAGCTGCTCCAACGCTTCTCCACGGGTTCCTAACATTTGCCAAGGTGTTAATCTCTCCCCCGATCGTTCTACAGGATCTAATTGCATAATAACGACGATGCCTCCATCCGGTCCGCAAAGCCAAGACAACACTTCGGGTAGGTACAGGGTTTGAGTCTAAATTCTGTTTTCCATGCCACAAATTTCCTCTGAGATTTGTCTGTTTTGAGCGCAGATGACTCAGACAAGCGCTTACTTACCTGTCAGGTTATGGTGAATCTCGCACCAGATTGTTATTCGATTTTCGTGACCAAGGACATGAAATGTCATCTTTGTAAGTGAGCGTCATCTGTAGAGAGACGCAGTGAAAAGAAACAAGCTTAAGAGCAGCGGTTCCATATTTTGATACTTTTTAAGCCACAGGAGATGAAAGTCGGTGCTAAGCAAATTAAAGATAGGCGCGATTATGCTGAAAATCCTAAGAACGCCAAACTGCCATCATAAATTACGATTTTTTTTTTTCCCTTGTAGTTTTTTAAACTCATGTAACTCGCCTCTTCGGTTCACGCTGCTTTCGATAGCTTTTCTAAGTAAAGAGTAGAAACTTGTATAACATAAGAGTCATTGACTTCGGCTCCGCCTCGCTGGTAGTTTAAAACCAAATCACCTCTTAATCGGTGTTATCGAATCTCATCAAACGCCTTTACCCGCTTTCGTTCGATTAGGTCCTCGACCACATCCTGAGATGAACGAAGACTGTGCAGGGAACGACGTGCTACAGCAAGCTCCAAAAATCAACAGAGATGAGTCTAGCGATGTTCCAAAGAAAAGAAAGCGACGGGTACTCTTCACCAAACACCAAATCTACGAACTGGAAAGACGATTTAGATATCAGCGCTACTTGTCAGCCCCAGAAAGGGAACAACTGGGACGGATGATCAACTTGACGCCAACACAAGTCAAAATATGGTTCCAGAATCATCGATACAAGCAAAAGAAGCAAGCAACAGAAGCAGGAGAGTTTAAAGATTCTCACTCGCTCTATCCCAGAACTGTGCCGGTGCCTGTTTTAATCCGCGAAGGTCAGCCATGTTATTCGAGTGATTTTGGCAACTCAGTGGGAAATTACTACCCAAACCAATATCAACCAACATATGACTACTCAAACTCTTACGGGAATTCTTATTCCTACACAGCACCTATTTCATCCATGAACTCGTCCTGCATGCAAGCGTACTCATATTGTAAATGGTAAAGAAAGAGCAGTAATGTTTGATAAACTGTGGAGGAATTATTTCACAATGAATGACTATGCAGTCTTGTTTTGGCCGTTACAAGATGACAAGCTAAACCATGGCCAAGAGAGACCATTGAAACTGTCGATCAGTCGAGAAAACTCGACAAATTTTTTTTTTCTCCCTCTCTAAAACCCATTTTCTGTAGTTTTTGGAGGAGAATCTGTAAAATATCTCCAAGTGCCTAACTGTAATATTGCCGCAATTCTAAGAGTTGAACATTTAAATCGCATCAATTTTGTCAATTACACTGTCCATGAAAATTCAAGTCTGATACTTATATAGGGATAAAACTGTGGCTCCCGTTCGGTGAAGGTGACCAAATTTCGTTTCCTTTTGTTTGATCGTGACATTTTTTGTTATTAGTAGTTAGAAAATGACATTTTGTTTTGCCACTGCCATTAATAGATCTATTCTTCGAGACTTTCTCTGAGTTACTTCTCAAGTCAGGGGATGGGTTACATTTCACAGGATTAAGTAACATAAGCAATGTCTTCGAAAAAAGACCCGCAAATGTATACACAGTCTTTCCTTCGAAATGCTATCAGACAATAAAAAGATAATGGAGCAGATTTTTCCAATGAAGAGACAACCTGCTCAGTTAAATGAAGAGTATCAAAGGGCGTGTTTGCTTCATCGACCTTCATTTGAAAACAGACATCTCATTTATGTTTTGTATTCTGGTAGACAAAGTTCCTTAGTGGTTATTTCTTCTTCTGAAAAATGCAATGAGATGTTTTTACGATTTCAAATAAGTAATATTATAGAAGAAGTTTAAAAATAGGAAAATATAGAATTTTATGACCATATCGTTATAGATTAATTCATTGATGAGATGCGAGTCCTTTAGAAGGAAGACTTTGTGGTCGGTAAACTAATGTAATACCTGTGATTCTACCGATGTATTCATTCTATTTATCTTCTATGCTTTCGTTAAAAAATTCGTAAATAATTTGATGATCTGTTCATCACCTCCTTTAGTTTAGGAGCACAAGGATGCAAGACAGTTTTAATGGCCAAATGTTTTCCACTCGTGGTCTTTGGTTGCAAACTTTTATTAACAATCCACGGTTTGGAAATTAGCTACCAGTACACAGATTCATCATCTTAAAGTTGCTACAGAATTCTTAATTTATTTCATTCTAAATGTTTTTATGTGGTGCGTAAATCTAGAAGGACACTTCGTCGAACGAGTAGAATTTAAACTTACCATCAAGTTTATGAATGTGCAATTAGAAAAAATCCATTGTAGTTTGGTTGATGTAGCTCAGCTTCTCTGTTCATATATATCATCTGATGTACATATATTTACATCCATGTTAGTATGTTACTTTAGATTCGGATGAGAGCTCCACAATAAAACTTCATTCGTAAGAGAGTATGCAAGTGTCGGTAGTGTAATTGCGTGAAAAAAGCATGGGAAAGGAACAGCTGACAACGACAAAAATCCTTTAATAGGAGGGTTTGTTTCTCAAAAATATAAGTGCAATTCGTTAATAGTTCAAAAGGATTCGTTCTCAAGCGAAGCATTTGAAAACAAAATTTTTGCCATACTGGTGAGAACATATGAAGGCGGAGAAGTACTTAGATCTATGTTGAACGAAATGAAGAGCTCTCTCTCACTTTCCTTATCCTTTTGACGAATGCTGATCGGTGAATTTAGGACAAAGTTTCAAAAGGTAAATTGTATTAAACGCTTTTCTTTTCGATTTATGGTTAGAGCCAAAGGAAAGTACAAGTTATTTAGAACGTTTTCAAAAACTGGGCCGTGATTGACTATTGTTGTCATTTTTGCTCTGGTTGAAAGTTGCTGTATCAATGAATGTATTCAGTTTGAGCCAATATTAGAGAAAGAGGTCATGATGTGCAAAGCCATAAAACTTTATATTTTAGTATAACAATTGATTAGGATGAAACGAAGTAGCGTAAAAAAGAAGAATAGCCAACGTTCAAGGAACGATTTTAAGGTTTTTCAAGGGTGGGCGGAAAGAGGCTGGATCAACATCCTGAGGCAAAGAGAACATAAGTTTTGCAACTCACATTATAAAGCTAATTACTTCTCGCATGGCTCAGCTGGTCAGAGATGGAAACAGATTTTTCACCGCTTTAAAAGTATCCTCCTTTGACTCGCGTTACCCTTTTTAAATTTTAAATCTCTTCGCGTTTATTTATTTATTTATTTGGTATTTTAGAAGGGAAAAGTATCGAGTCCCTTCTAAATCGTTCGTGGGAGATGGGTCGGCCATGCATGATTCCTCCACCTCCATTTAACTTGGAAAAAAAATACGAACTTTTAATCAAAACACTGCCAAAAGGGTCAGTTCTATAGAAACTGTCGCCTTAGCTACTTTTCTTACATTAGTAAATATAATCCTAAGCTTTTAAAGACTTTTAAGAATAAAAACAGCTCGGGAGGAATTCTATTCAATGTTTATTTTCATTTGGTATTGACGCAGTTTTAGATGGTAGTGTTTAAAGTCAATAATACCAAGACCAACAGCATTCTTGTCCTCTAAACGGCTTACGAAAGCTGTTTTAACATTTTGCTCTTTGGATGCTATATTTCTGCGGGTCAAAAATCAGGAGATTTTTTCCTTAGAACCGGCGCCGGTTCAAATAAATCTAATTTGTCATGCTGTGAGAGGAGGGTGTGATGTCAACCCACAGTGGAATAATACCCCCACCCTGTCGATAGCTTTTTATTGGGATGATGATAGCAGATATTTCTGTCGCATGGAGAAATTTGAACCATAAGTTTTATTCCGCAAATGAAGAACCATCAAACCTAATGATTTGTCTGTTATCGGGGTTCATCGTATCAAAAACACCAAAATTGAAAACAGTTTAGGCTAAACTATGATTGAGTGCCAAGTTAATTTGGAGCAGATTAGTGTCTTTTTACAGACGCGTGGTTTTGTCTGTGGCTGACCTAAAAGGAATCTCAGTTGTCGTGATCCTAAAAATACAAGCAGAACACGAAGTCTGTGTGAAGAGGCACTTATTCACTTCATGGTTCCTGCTGGTTGCGTATCCGTCATTCTTCAAAAGAATCACAAGTGCTTTGTTACCCGAAATTTAAAATGGACGAAACGAAGAGAATGGAAAACCAGTTGCACAATTGACGGATACTTGAAGTTTTCTTTTCAGTTCCATGTGCACAGGGAAATTAAATCCGTGAACAATACTGAAAGGATTGTTTCTGTTATGTGCAGCCTCTTAAAGGTGGTTTTTAAGGGTGGTTTTCTTCAATATTCCATTGAAAGAATGAATACTGGTCCGAAAATGAATGTACGGTGCGTGGATCTGCTAAAGAACTGAGAAGTACACGGTCTGTCTGATTTGATTTGGTTTCATCTGATGCTATACATATAAGTCATTTTTTTTTACTCATAGTCCTCTAAGAATTATTTTATTTATTATATAGAGGTGTATGCTAAGAGAGAATTAACACATTTATCTGAGATCGTGTGTGTTTCTTAGGAGTCTCAAGCAAATTGAGCACGTTCATTTTAACCGTGCAGTTTGGATTTTTTTACAAACGTATTATCATAGTCGTTTAACAACAATACCCAGTGATATTAAGGACGAAAATATCTTCGGCCCAACTTTTACATTAAAGCAAATGTCAATAGGGTACTAACTTTTAGCGAAAAAAAATTCTTCTTCTGAAAGATTAATGCGTGTGATTCTTATTTTGTGTTTTCATACTACTAATTTAGAAATATCCCTATTTGTAAAATCTCAGAGATTGATAATTTCTGAAAATGCTTTCCATTTGTACCAAAGAAATCCCTCGAGCACAAGACCTCCACGAAAATATCAACGTTTAGAGATCGGAAAAGATATAATTTATTAAAAAGGATGTTCCACGTTTGTGAAAGCATTGATCAACTCTTTCCTTGGAGGGATATAATTTGGGCGTTTGTATAAGTCTAACTCAACGCTAAGTTAATGTTAAACAGTGCTAACAATTCAATGCTGCCTATACAACGTGGAAAATTTGCACGAAATGTAAACGTCATTTCCGAGCAATATAAAAGATCTATATGATTAACTGTAACACACTCTATGTTTCACAAGGGCTTTGCGCTTTAAGGAGCTGTGAAAATCTTTATGGGATTTGGGAATATTCTGATGCACGCGTTTTGGATCCCTCCTGACTCTCTAATACGAATAATCATAAAGAGCTGTGAAAATCTTTACGAGGCACGTGTTTTCGATCCCTTCAAAATGTATAATACAAAATATTTGTGCTACACTCCTGATCTGTGTGTTCTGTCTAAAACGATGATCCTCTGAGATCTTTTTATAAATATGCTATTTGTTCTGTTTATGTCAGTGAACGCACGGCAGTCACTAAGCCGAGGTCTTTGATTAAATAGTTGCATAGAGCAGAACCATGGCAAAAAAATGACAAGAATTCAATAGAGCACTTTAAGTACTTTAACCATATCCGATGAATTTTCCTAAGTTATCACGAAACGAAATAACAGTGATTTCCTTCGGAAAGCGAACGCATCCGAGAAAACTTAGTCAGGTTTATGACAGTTCATTTCATTGAGGAGGATTTTAATGTGTATTTTACCTAAGAGACTTCCTCGGCTTTAGGAATATCCCTGACCCATGCAAAGCGAGAGAGCGAACCACTTATAGTGCCATAAGAGACACATCGAAATACTCAGGAAGGAAACTGCGAAGTTCCACTGTAAACCAAACCCCATGTGTTGCACTTTTAAGATTGAATATTATAATCGGATACCTCAGTAGGGACACTTCCTTCTCATGTCCCTAATAAACTTTGGCTCGTCCTGCTGCGGTCTCTGGCAGTGTTTCCATCCTTGTTACCAACGTGAGCAGCCAATTAGCGGAACGTGAGCTCGTGTACTGCTGGCTCTGCGCTCGTCAGCGGTAGTTGTAAGAATATGTATTGCGTAACGTGTAACGCCTTACGTCACCTCCTCGTTTTAAAGAATAGAACGCCTCTGGTTGTTCTCCGTCTTGGACACGTGTTGAAGTATAGAGTTATCGATGTAATACCTCTGTTTTCCAGCAATATCTCATTGATTTTGCCACAGTAACGGCAACTGGCGAGGGACCTGGCAACCAGAGGAGATGAAGAGACAAAGAAGAGCGAAGAGGCCTTTTGATACTGCTCAGTATTCCGTGTTGGACTTCTTTTTTAGAGTCTAAATCTTTTTTAACTATGCACATTTGAAACGACTTGGTTTAACAGAAAAACATTGGTTGCTATCACATAACGCTCTTTGCTTCATTTTCCAGAATCCTATAGAGTTGATTCATGCACTGAGTCCCAACCCACGCTGCCAAACCTTTTTTTTATAATTATTATAGGCAGGCATTAATTTCAAACCAGAATTTGTTTTGTTATTAACATTGACGCAAAGCTCACATCATAGGTTTTAAAAGCATCAGTTTTTATGTACCCGTGTGTGACATGAAAATGAAAGCAACTGAATATAGAAACTGCTTGAAGTAAAAAAAGAGTTTACAGTGATCACAAAAGCTTTCTTCCCTCATCTTTGTCACGCAGAAAATAAGCCAGCTTCGAAAGTAAGATTTAGGTCGTGCTTGCTTGTTTATTTAAAAGTTTCAGGTTATTTATTGTTAATAATAACTCATACAAATTAATATTTTTATGCCGACTCAGAAAAAAGCCGAAAAAATTTACATTATAAAAACTCATCATAATTCCAAAAATCATTCTTTGATAACCCATCTTTCTAAATTTTTAATGTCCACGAGACTTTAAGTGGCTTCCCTTTTTTCTTCAAGAATATGAAAGGAAATTCATTTAAACTTCTCCATTCACTTAACTGATCAAAATGTATCTTTTCAATACCAAGAGGTAAATCGTGAAACTAATGCAATGCATAAATTGCAAGGGACCGATCATAATTTAAAACCAGCAGGGAGGGGGAGGGGGGTTTAGTGGATTTTACCGGTGCCATAATAAAATTTACGTGATCCCCCCCAAGTCTCTTTAAGATTCTAATTGTCCCACCTCATTGGTAGTGTCTATAGTCTTCCTCTTTTAACTGTTAGTTACGACTACTCCCTTCTCCGTTCCCCCGCCCCCGCCCCCGTCCCCCTAAAAACCACGTGATCCCCCGATTCTCCCAAGGGCGATGACTAACGACTGATGTCTGAGTAGGATTTTCTATCAGAGTAATTTAGTGTTAACAACTGAGCTGAAAGCTCAAATTGGATACCGGAAAGAGTTAAAAGGCTGACGTTTCGAGCATTAGCCCTTCGTCTGACGCACCACAGTTTCTTTAGAAACTTACCTCCTTTTTTCTATCATAGTGTTGCGGACTCTTAGAGGAATCGTCA